ATATATAGTGTTGGTCATTTTGCTGTAAATATATATTGTTGGTCCTTTTACTGTAAATATACATTGCTGGTCATTTTCTGTAAATATATATTGCTGGTATTTTACCATAAATATATATTGTTGGTCATTTTTATATAAAAATATATTCCTGGTATTCTTACTATACAAAATGTATTTTTATACTTTCATAGAATTTTGTTTGCGGGATACTATTTGCCCATAGTTGGGACCCTAACAGGTGCTACCACTCCGGGTGAGGGTGAACCTAGGAACAACAGTCGTTAAGAAGTGGTTCCACGCTCCTCAAAACCCCCAATCTCCAGATCAGGGGCCTTGCTGCTGGATGTAGTTTATCGTCATACCCAGGATTGAACTATAGAAGTGGGAAACAGACAGGATGGTGCAATAAACCTTTGCTTCATGCTTTCATCATACATCAAATCTCCTGGTCGCTTCTTTCTTTTTAAGGGCGCGTCTCATCAGGAGGAGGACGAGCACGATTCTCCAAAGATATTTCTTCATTATAACTGTGAATTGCCATGTCGCAAATTTTTAGATGAGTAACATTCTTCATTAGTATCGTCATCTTTGTTGTTATACCCACAACGTTTCAGCCTTCGAACATTCTGATCTTCTTCAGGTGTGTGTGTGTGTGTGTGTGTGTGATGCTCGTAACTTTCTCTAGTTTGAAATCGAACAGGTGAGAATATATTCATGTTGGATTTTTATAAGGAATTATAAATATTATATGTTTTTTCATATGCAATACTTTAATATAAATTGACATTGCCAAAATATATATTTAAAATTATTTTAAATAAAAACACATAACTAATCATTATGAAAGGCATTTTCTATGAAAATTCATTACCAATGAGTTTACTATGAAAATGCATTGCAAGTTATTTTAATAAAAAAAAGATATTAATAATTATATCTTGATATAAAAATGTATTACCAAACATTTTCCTATCAAAAGACGTGGCAAATGATTTTACTATAAAAATGTATTGCTAATGCGTTTATTATATAAAAAAAATAAAGTGTATAATAATTTACTATCTTCTATTAATCAGTACATTCGCCATCTTGTAAAATCTTTTATATCCAAATAATAGAAATAGCTGATGATTACTGATTATTTTAATCTTCCTTGAGTAAGTTTGTGGATATACGTTGAACGAAAGACAGAGATGGTACATACGTATTAAATTCAACACAGTTTACCTAAAAACCAAATGGTGGATAATTGAATATAGAAAGATTATTATGTCGCGCCATTTTTCTTACTGGAAGGTTTTGTCTTTAAAATCCCCAGTCGAAATCGTGGTTCTTAACTGAACTCGAGCCGTGACCTATGGCGTCTCTTTTAAACATCGCATCTCTGAAACATATCCTCATGAAACTCTGCATATAAAGAAGCTACCTGGGCACCGTGATACGGTGTAATGGTTAGCAAGTTTGTCTTGCTAGAACAATTACGACTGAATAGTGAGTTCGGTCCTCACTGGGTACATCATACTTTCGGCCTTGTGCCACATCTAAGCTACGCTTTGAAAATTAATTTAAAGAGGCTACCTATATTTAATAATATTCGTATGATACAATACCAACTAATGGTGAATGTAAGATTATCTTGAGCCAGTAGGGAACGTATCTCTCTATCAAGAAAGTCACAGTAGGCCTTTCTTTTTTCCTGAACCCGAACACCGAACTCTGGAGCCGTACTGAAATAGACAAGCTATATTCAGACCTCGAAATAGATTCATACGAAGCCTGAGAATGACGTATATAGCGATATTTAAACATCTGAGTTTAACACTGCACCAGTCCTGCTAAGAGATGGAAGGTCGTGTTGCCGTTAAAATCAATAATCATAATGCCGACGTTACTCTCAGCTCGAAAGCAAATCTCAAGCGTGTACGTAAAATAAGCAACTATTTTAGTCGATTAGCAAACCCTAAAGAGACAAAGAAACGAGTATCGTTGTAAACTCTGTTTTCGTCCTCTTTGATTGGCACGTTCGATAAGAGTCTTAGAGTAAAGTAATTTAAGAAATAAAACTCATGCTCATTAGAGTTAAGACGAATAGCGATAGCCACTCAGTAAGAGACGTAAAACTAACTGGCTTCATGGCGAGAGCAAAGAATTAGGGAGGCAAAAACGGGTAGAGAGTTGTCTGCAACGTCCGTGAGTGAGTAGCGACTACCAGACAAGTAGGGCTGAACCCCCGGTGATTGGCAAATCAGCTTTAAATGATTCTTAATTAGCATGATGACTCGGGAGCCAAGAACCGTTTTCGCGCCAAAACCGGACCGACAGACGACAAATTACTGGTTTTCGGATTTTCGTTTCACCGCCATCTTCCTAATTTCTTTTTGATTTTGTCATGTTTAGTCGTCAACCTAACCTTCTCTTAGCATTTTTCTATTTTTATTTCTTTTCGAACCTTCAGCGTTCATTTCTTATTTCCCTACCTTCCTCCTTTGAAGAGTTCTCAATTATCCTGCTAATTAATGACCGCTGCTATCTAACTACGTTGTCTTCTTTATCATCTAATCTTATATTCTCCTGATGAGTATGTCGGAGAGGCTTTATTCTTGATTTTGTCAGGTAGAAAGTTTAAACATTTTCTACTGGTATGTTACTATATAAGATTTTAATATCGAAGTTAGTCATGACATTACTTTTCATATTTATGTTGTTTTTTGTTTATTTAATTTGTTGATGAGCTCAGGAGAATTTTAACGTGTAAATCACACTTAGTTGATCAAGAAAGTCATCAAATTCTGTCGATTTTATACCAGTTTTTTTATGTTCACTGAGAGTTTTTAAAAACAAATTTTGAACTACCAATGCATGCTCTAGCCAGCTGTGTTTTAATCGGTCTATTTTTAGCATTCTTAAAATCTAACCCATTTCAAAATACCTTATCCCGAAATACTGAATAATTTCGCTGTATAGATGACCACTTACTAAATACTAATTTATTCTAAATTATTTCATCTTATAAAGAAAACTAAACTTAATTCTACTAACAAACGAATTTGCATATTAAAAAGAAACTACACCATACCTTTTCATGATATATCTATTTATATAAAATTCTGTGTTTTTGGTTAGTCCGTCCGTCTCACACCCTCTAAAATAACCAGACATTGACCGATCGAAACCAAATTTTGGAGAGAAGTGCAAACAGATAGGGGGGGGGCACAAAGTACAGTTGGTTTTACTAGGGTATGCAACTTAGTACAATAAATTTTCATTGATTTGTTGGCTAAAAATAAAAGTTTTACTATTTAATGTACAAAATACTCCCACTATTTTCAAAACAATTTAATGATTAAAATAGCAAATACTTATTTAATAAAAATACAATATTGACTTTGCATGACTTTTCTTTATGTTTTACATATACAAGAATCCAGTTCCCAGTTCACCCTGCGTTTGCGAGATCTATAAACAAATCACACGACCAAACATTTCAAAAAGTTGGAATTTGGATTCATAAAGAAATATCTACGCATGACCAATTATATATTGCATGCTCAAGAGTAAGAAATCCCCCCAAATTGTACTTCGATGTCAAAAAGAAAAAAAGAAATCTTCTTTAAAATTATTGTTTATCATGAAGTCCTATAAAATTAAATTAAATTAAAGGAATTGTAAAACAGCGAAGTAGGGTTTGTTTTTTTTTGTCAAAGTATTTTTCCAAATAAATCGGCTTATTTAAATTTCATCGATTAGTGTGTGAAATTGTGAATTGAAATTGAATCTCGACAAGAAATTTTAGCGGTAACTAACTATATAAAAATTTTAGTATGTATAAATTCCCGTTGAATAGTAACCGGCCACAACTAAAAGTTTCATGCCTGTGAGTTGTGATCGGTCACTGTCATTTGTGAAAATCAGCATTTGATACTCCCTCAGCAAGTTCAAGATGTTACAACCAGGGTAGTTGATATATACAGATACCATCCACACACCAACCAAACTCACCAGGAGTTAAGGGAAATACCTTTACGGAAATACTGAAATTTCACTATTATTTGGGACGAAAAAATCAAGAGTGCGTAGAAAGTGCTCAAAAATAGGGCCTCCTCAGAGCTAAAAACAAAATAATGTTTAATAATATAAGTCCCCCCATATCATAGCATAGGATTTAAACACACACAAACACACTTGTGAGTGTGTGTGTGTGTGTGTGTGTGTGTGTGTGTGTGTGTGTGTGTGTGTGTTATATCTCTCTTTCTTCTCGTCATCATCTTGTTGATGAATTAAGTAAGTTTAATTTATTCCAATATTTTGTCGTATTATTAAACTGATACATTTGTCATCACGATATTTCAGACATTTTGTCTCGCAAAAATGAATCAGAGGCATATATACTGACCGGCATGGCTTATTTCCAGTAGTGGGAGTCATTGATTGGAGTCTGTTGATGTATTTGTCATTATTTTGTTTCTAATCCTTCCCAACTTGCACGGCCCTTTAATATTTATTTGCTTCTTTCTTTCTTTCTTTCTTTCTTTCTTTCTTTCTTTCTTTCTTGTTCAATACTGCCTTTCTACCTCCACTCTCCTTTTGTCATTATATAACTTGTAATCATAATTCTTTCTTTCGTTTCTTTTCTTTTCTTCTTTATCTCTATTTCTTTTTCGTTCAGTACTGCCTTTTCATCTTCATACGATTTTTCTCATTGGATTATTGTTTTTCTTTCTTTCTTTCTTTCTTTCTTTCTTTTTCATTCGATATCCTTTCACTACCTTCACTCGCAATTTCCATTATATAACTTTTATTAGTACTTTCCTCTCTTTCTTTTTTCTTTCTTTCTTTCTTTCTTTCTTTCTTTCTTTTCCTTTCCTTTCCTTTCCTTAGCAGCCCATATTTTTCATTTTTCACCTCTACAGCCGGATTCTTTCTTTCTTTTTTCTTAGTTTATTTCTTTCTTTTTTTCTTTCTTTTCTTTTCCTTTCCTTTCCTTAGCAACCCACATACTT